TGTGCACCAAACGTCTAATATTTGCCCAAATGGGATGGAATTTGGCACTTACGACCGAATTGAGTCTAGAAGCTGGTATGCCAAATTTGATAAAGATCGCTTCAGATATAGCTATAGCTCCCATATATATTGTTATATCCGATTTGTTATTTCTGTCCTCCGCAGCCGTAATATGCACTCTGTGACAACAATATTTGGGGAAATATATCAAATTCAGCTCAGAAATACCTTTGCTAAATTTCATTGAGATCGGTTCAGATTTGGATATGGCTCCCATATATAGCGTCGTCCGATTTACCGTATATTGTGCACCAAACCTCTATTATTTGCCCAAATGGGATGGAATTTGGCACTTACGACCGAATTGAGTCTAGAAGCTTGTATGCCAAATTTGATCGAAATCGGTTCAGATATAGCTATAGCTCCCATATATATTGTTATATCCGATTTGTTATTTTTGTCCTCCGCAGCCGTAATATGCACTCTGTGACAACAATATTTGGGGAAATATATCGAATTCATGTCAGAAATACCTTTGCTAAATTTTATCGAGATCGATTCAGATTTGGATATAGCTCCCATATATAACTTCGTCCGATTTACCTTTTATTGTGCACCAAACGTGTAATTTTAGCCCTAATAGGATGGAATTTGGCATTTACGACCGAATTGAATCTGGAAGCTAGTATGTCAAATTTGGTGAAGATCGGTTCAGATATAGCTATAGCTCCCATACATATTGTTCATCCGATTTGTTATTTTTGCCGTTCGCAGCCGTAATATGCACTCTGTAACAACAATATTTGGGGAAATATATCAAATAAAGCTCAGAAATACCTTTGCTAAATTTTATCGAGATCGGTTCAGATTTGGATATAGCTCCCATATATATAACTTCGTCCAATTTACCTTATATTGTGCACCAAACGTCTAATATTTGCCCAAATGGGATGGAATTTGGCACTTACGACCGAATTGAGTATAGAAGCTTGTATGTCAAATTTGATAGAAATCGGTTCAGATACAGCTATAGCTCCCACATATATTATTCATCCGATTTGTTATTTTTGTCCTCCGCAGCCGTAATATGCACTCTGTGACAACAATATTTGGGGAAATATATAAAATACAGCTCAGAAATATCTTTGCCAAATTTTATCGAGATCGGTTCAGATTTGGATATGGCTCCCATATATACCGTCGTCCGATTTACCTTTTATTGTGCGCCAAACGTGTAATTTTAGCCCAAATAGGATGAAATTTGGCACTTACGACCGAATTGAGTCCAGAAGCATATAATTTTGAATAATTCTGACAGGAAGCGGGCATAGCCTCAGGGCTGTATTTTTAGTTTTACGAAGCGGTTCTACCTGCTTATTGTACCATGCTTTCAATTTGGGCAGCACTTTCGATGTCTTGATCAAAATGGGGAAACACTCTTAACCAAACACTTGCTCTGTTCCAGGACCTACAAGAATCTACTATTTTGGCAATTTTTTTTCGAAAATACAAAGACAAAATCTTGCAGTTCTGGAAAAGACCAACTATTTTCTTTCTCTTAAAAAAATATTGACGTATATTTTCGCTGCAGTACACCCCCTAATGATAATAGCTATTCTTCTAAAAATATCAACAGCTGTCTTTAGAATATTCTAAAAATGATAAACCATTTAAACATAAATATCAGCCCCTCAATCTTGACATCCATACGTACTTGGCTTATCGCATAACGAGTACGGCCAACTTTCTCCTATAAAAACCTGCAGCGGCACCCGACCAAACATAGTTCTCATTTGTTCACAAATTAAGCAACTAAACCGAAGAAAAACAACAAAAATGTTCAAATTCACTTTCGCCATCTTGGCCGCCCTGCTCTTGGTCTCTCCGACCTTTGCCACCGTCTACACTCGCTGTTCCCTGGCTAAGGCCATGTACAGCTTGGGTGTACCCAAGGATCAATTGGCCCGCTGGACATGCATTGCTGAACATGAATCGGCCTATAATACCATGGCTGTTGGCTCCTTGAATTCGAATGGCTCTCGCGATTATGGCATCTTCCAAATCAACAACTACTACTGGTGTTCCCCACCCTCCGGTGCCTTCTCCTACAATGAGTGCAACATCAAGTGTGATGATTTCTTGGTCGACAGCATTGAACCCAGCGTTAAGTGTGCCCAGTTGATTTTGAAACAACAAGGTTGGACTGCCTGGTCCACCTGGAAATACTGTGATGGTACTTTGCCCAGCATTGATGATTGTTTCTAGGCGAATGGATTTTGAGTGTACGATGAAGAAGAGATTAATAACATTTTCATGATATTGCAAAATAAGACTGGTGTTTGAATTTTGTAAGGTCTTGGGTTCAGAAGTTTTAGAAATCCTGTAAAATGTGAACTGGGACCTCCATTTCTCAATTAGATGGCCTCTATAGATCTCCAGACTGGCAGTTGTGAATAAATTGGGTTTGAATTATTAATAGTTAAAGGTGAGAATACCTAAGACCTTTTTTTTTTGGTTGTCTTAAATCATCGGATGTTGGCTTCTTCAGGTAAAAGAACAAAGGAGCCTAGGGTAAGCCAGCATAAATTATTATCGTGCCCACCAGCCAATCAGACAGACAGACCGACGGACTGAGGGAAATCACTAGATCGACTCCAAATGTCCTGAAACGGATTTGGTCCAAAGAGACCTAGGTTCTAAAACCCTTAATTCGATGAGGCACGTTTTGGCGGTATCAAATGATATGCAGGGTGAAATAGAAAAAAAAAACTGCAACAAAGTCAAACGCCATAATTTTTAATTTTTTTTAAGGTCGGAAATAGCATCAAATTTTAGAATAAGTTTAGATTTGTTCGAATTGGTCACCTTTGGCACGAGGGTATGGCCTTCAAACGGCCATAGAAATCGTCACACGCTGCCCGAATGTTGCTCTGCGATATTTTGGCCCATTCCCGGCGAAGCACTTGCTTGAGGTGATCGACACTTAGGTATTTTTTTGGGCCAACCTTGCTCTCCAAAATACTCCAGACACAATAGTCCATCGGATTGGTATCCGGAGATTTTGGTGACCATTGTGGGCTGGAAATGAAACGAGGAACCTCATTTTGTAACCATTCTTGGATGGCGCGTTCTCAGTGCGATGGTTGTCCAAGGTCTGCGGGATGCCCAAGGCTTTAGTACAACCTCCAGAATATTTTCAAATCAAATTTTAGAATAAGTTTAGATTTGTTCGAATTGGTTACCTTTGGCACGAATTATGGCCTTCAAAACCGTCACACGCTGTCCGAATGTTGCTCTGCGATATTTTGGCCCATTCCCGGCGAAGCACTTGCTTGAGGTGTTCGACACTTAGGTATTTTTTGGTGCCAACCTTGCTTTCCAAAGTACTCCAGCCACAATAGCCCATCGGATTGGTATCCGGAGATTTTGGTGATCATTATGCGCTAGAAATGAAGCGATGAACCTCATTTTTTAACCATTCTTGGGTGGGGCGTCCTCAGTGCGATGGTTGTCCAAGGTCTGCGGCCAAAATGTTTGAGTGCCCCAGGGCTTTAATACAACCTCCAGAATATTTTTTGGCGATAATATTCGGCATTTATTCTGATGCCAAGGTCGATAAATACGAGCGGAGAGCGAAATGAAGCGAGGAACCTCATTTTGTAACCATTCTTGGGTGGCGGGTGCTCAGCGCGATGGTTGTCCAAGGTCGGCGGCCAAAATGTTTGAGTGCCCCAGGGCTTTAATACAACCTCCAGAATATTTTTTGGCGATAATATTCGGCATTTATTCTGATGCCAAGGTCGATAAATACGAGCGGAGAGCGAAAAGAAGCGAGGAACCTCATTTTTTAACCATTCTTGGGTGGCGCGTGTTCAGTGCGATGGTTGTCCAAGGTCTGCGGCCAAAATGTTTGAGTGCCCAAAGCTTTAATACAACCTGCAGAATATTTTCGCAATAATATTCGGTCGGCCACAGTCGATTAATACGAGTGGAGAGCGACCATTGGCTGTTATGGCAGCCCACACCATCTCCATGGCCGGCTCTTGAGTTCTGGTGGCCGGCCAACCAAAGGTGGCCACATTTTCAGCTGACCTCTTTGGACAGCGAATGTTTTCTCATCGGAGATAACCAAATTCTGCAGTTCACCACTTTCGACCACTTGCGAAGCAACTCTTTAGCTCTTTTGTGTCCACTCTTCTTTCTGTTGCGGTGTAAGTTCTTGCACTTTTTTGGAATTTCAATGGCTTTACCCTGAGCTCATTTTCCATTATTTGCCGAATGAAATATTGCGATATGTTCAGCTCACGAGCCATTTTTCGGCCACTGCGACGCGGGTTTCGAACAAGTCGCTTCTTTACTTTTCGAAGCATTTCTGCTGATGTTGCTGTTTTCTTCCGTCCACTTCCTTGAGGTCGGGCTACGCTACCAGTATCACGGCAACGAGCGATGGTAGGAGACACAAAAGATTTATTCACCTTCAAATGCTGGAGTGCTCTAGCCACTAGTGGTTTTCCAGACAAATATAAAGAAATCGGACTATCACGCTTGAATACCCTGACGAATAACTTTTTTTCTGGAAAATTCTCACCAAAATGCTTTTGTACGCTTCTAAGCAATATAATGACCTGTCACTGGTATAATTTTAACAGCTGTCGGAGAAGTGGTTTAAAAACGACAGCAGTCGGAAATTGGTTGCAGTTTTTTTCATCTCACTTCGTATATCCTCTTTAGCCATATGGCTGAGGGTATAATAAGTACAAAATTGCTAATTTGGCATATAAACACATGGATCCTGCAATGGCAGGGCTTACTTGGAAAATATAGGCCATTTTATGAGGCCTCTCCTTAATTCAGTCATCTTCCGTTTCGAGGCCTCCAAAAAGTTTTTTTGTTTTGTTTTCGAGGAGAACTTCGACTTGGCGGAATTTCCAGTTTTGATATTAAAAATATGCTTCTTCCTCCTCTCTCTGACATTTTCACAATCTCTCCCCTAATTTCAGGTAACAAAACTAAGTCGAACTGAAGCAACCGGTACGAGTCGCTCCACAACAAAACCAGCAACCACAGTCAAGCGAAGTACCGATGAAAAAGAGAAGCTACGTACAGCTAAAACCACCCTAAGCAAAACAAATGAGATCCGAAAATCGGTGGCAGTAAAGCCACCAAGCAATGAAAGGTCCACGGGGCGGACCACAACCTCTAAGGCAGCCACAACTAAGCCCTTGGCCACCAAATCTCAGATAAAAGCCCCAAACACTACAGCGACATCTACCAAGACAAACAGTAGAGTAACCGCCAACCAACCCCAGCAACCACAACAACAACAACGACGTGTTACCAAGGTTTCAAAATCCCCCTCCGTTTTAGGTTCTCCGGTCACCACACCTCGACAGCCTTTACGTGCCAAACACACCCCGGAAATCAAGGAGGCAGTGAAGAGAAATGCCATAGCCAAGACAAGTTCGGCGGCCACAGTTCCACCTAAACCAAATGCCGTATTGGATACCCATTCCAATGTCACCATTGCATCGCCACCACCTAAAAGAAAAAATGAGGTCCAGAAACCCCAGGAGGAAGTTCACGAAGAAGAGCTATCTAAGCCAAGCAAACTAACTCGCAAAGGCAGTCGTGTCCTGGCGCCCGACGAAATTGTGGTACTGAAACGAGAGTCGGCCAAAAAACGCAGCGAGGAGCAAATTCGACGCGATAGTGTGGTCCAATTGGAACCTAGACCTGTAGTGGCGCCCAAAGAGCCTGTGGCCTTTGAGGTGCCATTTAATGAGAGACAAAAGACCGCCAGAGAGAGAAGTAAAACGGAAAATTCTGAGGAGGGTCACAGTAAAAGAGAACGTTCCACTTCGAGAGTTCGACAGCCGAAAGAAACCAAAAACCAGGAGAAGGGAGAGGAAGAGGAAACGGAGATAAATTACTCCGATGATTTTGATTCGTATGAATCGGATTTTGAGACGGGATCTTCGAGGAAATCATCCGGCCCCAGCAGTGTTAGTAATACCGCAAGTGATGAAGATGAGGAGGAGGGGGAGGAGGAGACTACTTCCCTAAATGAAACCTCTTCAGAGGAAGAAGAATGCTCCGGTGACAAAATTCTAGACTCCGAGGAAGAGGAGGAAGACTCCGAAATAACCCAAGATCCCATTACGGTACTGCAACGGGACAAAGAACGCAAACTCGACTCGGGCCACTATGAATTGAACTCCCGACGCAATCCCAAATTGGCTGACATACCCAATCAATCTACCCAAAATTTGGTGGATAGTTTTGAAACCTTTAGCCTCAATGCCTCGGATCAATTGGATTCGGGTATTTCGGCATATGGTCCTTCAACGCTGACAAATATCTCAAAGGGTAATTTTCAAATCTTCTATGGAGGCTACAAAGATTTCCTCCGGAAACCCATACACAACAAACGGGGTGAGGATCTAATGGCCAAGATACAACTGGACACGCTGGAATTTCAGCTGTTCGACATGAAACCCATATCCTATGATGTTTTCATGCAAACCTTCGGTAAACTGAATACCTATCAAAGTTCCACCCAGACCCAGGATAATCTCATGAGTACGGAGTCGCAGACGGACAACTGGGAAATGCGTTCAATGTGGACCCAACATCCGGCCCAGTATGATTGGGAAATGGTAAAACAGCTGACCACAAATGTTAAGGGTTCGATTCTCGGGGGTGGGGTTTTGGGCCAGAACTGTTGTGGGGAATTGGAGGATGAAAATGATATCAAAACATCCTCTCAAGATGAACTGGAAAGAAGTTTGGAGGCCTTGAAGTTGTGGGAGAATCAAAAATCTCTAAGGAAGTTTCAAAATCAAGGTCGGATTCTTCGAAAACCCATAGATTATGAGGGGCTCAACAGTTTCCTTTTGAGATCCTCCATGGTGATAAATCAGATTCTGGGCTCGACGCTGCGGGAAAACCATTCTGATTCGGATGCCCAGCAATTGGGCCACCTGGAGCGCATTGTGGACTCCCGCCATGAATTGGATAGCAATTTCCTGAACACCCTAAGGGTGGTGAGAATTTTTTCCAATTCCAAACACAATTTGGTCATTACCGTCCATGAATCTCTACCCGAAACGGATGTCTATAAATCGGATTTTGCCCAACTTCTAATGGTTTGGTGTGTCAATGTCAACGATAAACCCAATCGTTTACTTTCCACCTGGAGTCAGGTGTCCCGGGTGGAGATATCCAATGACAGTGCTGATATTGTGGTGGCCAGCTTGAGGGATGGTTCGGTGGCCATGTGGGATTTAAGAGAAACCTATTCATTTTGTTCGAAACTGGATGGTTATCTGACACATTTTGCAGCTACCCAATCAATTGTGCCTTCGTTTGAAGGGGTGCAGGATAGAGGGGAGATCCTTATGGATTATGGTTCCTGTTTGGATGTGAGGAGTTTTAAAACGGCCAACAATAATTGGGCGCTGGCCAATGTCAACGGAAGCCGGACAAAGTCGCAGGTGAGTAACAGAATGTCAAAAACCCCGAAATGTCAATTTTTAAGGAGTTATGAGCATTTTAAAATTTGCTATTTTTCCTCTTTCAATAACTGCCTCTAAAATGATGCTAAAAACCCCGAAATGTCAATATTTAAGGAGTTATGAGCATTTTAAAATTGGCTATTTTTCCTCTTTCAATAACTGCCTCTAAAATGATGCTAAAAACCCCGAAATGTCAATATTTAAGGAGTTATGAGCATTTTAAAATTGGCTATTTTTCCTCTTTCAATAACTGCCTCTAAAATGATGCTAAAAACCCCGAAATGTCAATATTTAAGGAGTTATGAGCATTTTAAAATTGGCTATTTTTCCTCTTTCAATAACTGCCTCTAAAATGATGCTAAAAACCCCGAAATGTCAATATTTAAGGAGTTATGAGCATTTTAAAATTGGCTATTTTTCCTCTTTCAATAACTGCCTCTAAAATGATGCTAAAAACCCCGAAATGTCAATATTTAAGGAGTTATGAGCATTTTAAAATTGGCTATTTTTCCTCTTTCAATAACTGCCTCTAAAATGATGCTAAAAACCCCGAAATGTCAATATTTAAGGAGTTATGAGCATTTTAAAATTGGCTATTTTTCCTCTTTCAATAACTGCCTCTAAAATGATGCTAAAAACCCCGAAATGTCAATATTTAAGGAGTTATGAGCATTTTAAAATTGGCTATTTTTCCTCTTTCAATAACTGCCTCTAAAATGATGCTAAAAACCCCAAAATGTCAATATTTAAGGAGTTATGAGCATTTTAAAATTGGCTATTTTTCCTCTTCAAATATCTGCCTCTAAAATGATGCTAAAAACCCCGAAATGTCAATATTTAAGGAGTTATGAGCATTTTAAAATTGGCTATTTTTCCTCTTTCAATAACTGCCTCTAAAATGATGCTAAAAACCCCGAAATGTCAATATTTAAGGAGTTATGAGCATTTTAAAATTGGCTATTTTTCCTCTTTCAATAACTGCCTCTAAAATGATGCTAAAAACCCCAAAATGTCAATATTTAAGGAGTTATGAGCATTTTAAAATTGGCTATTTTTCCTCTTCAAATATCTGCCTCTAAAATGATGCTAAAAACCCCGAAATGTCAATATTTAAGGAGTTATGAGCATTTTAAAATTGGCTATTTTTCCTCTTTCAATAACTGCCTCTAAAATGATGCTAAAAACCCCGAAATGTCAATATTTAAGGAGTTATGAGCATTTTAAAATTGGCTATTTTTCCTCTTTCAATAACTGCCTCTAAAATGATGCTAAAAACCCCGAAATGTCAATATTTAAGGAGTTATGAGCATTTTAAAATTGGCTATTTTTCCTCTTTCAATAACTGCCTCTAAAATGATGCTAAAAACCCCGAAATGTCAATATTTAAGGAGTTATGAGCATTTTAAAATTGGCTATTTTTCCTCTTTCAATAACTGCCTCTAAAATGATGCTAAAAACCCCGAAATGTCAATATTTAAGGAGTTATGAGCATTTTAAAATTGGCTATTTTTCCTCTTTCAATAACTGCCTCTAAAATGATGCTAAAAACCCCGAAATGTCAATATTTAAGGAGTTATGAGCATTTTAAAATTGGCTATTTTTCCTCTTTCAATAACTGCCTCTAAAATGATGCTAAAAACCCCGAAATGTCAATATTTAAGGAGTTATGAGCATTTTAAAATTGGCTATTTTTCCTCTTTCAATAACTGCCTCTAAAATGATGCTAAAAACCCCAAAATGTCAATATTTAAGGAGTTATGAGCATTTTAAAATTGGCTATTTTTCCTCTTCAAATATCTGCCTCTAAAATGATGCTAAAAACCCCGAAATGTCAATATTTAAGGAGTTATGAGCATTTTAAAATTGGCTATTTTTCCTCTTTCAATAACTGCCTCTAAAATGATGCTAAAAACCCCGAAATGTCAATATTTAAGGAGTTATGAGCATTTTAAAATTGGCTATTTTTCCTCTTTCAATAACTGCCTCTAAAATGATGCTAAAAACCCCGAAATGTCAATATTTAAGGAGTTATGAGCATTTTAAAATTGGCTATTTTTCCTCTTTCAATAACTGCCTCTAAAATGATGCTAAAAACCCCGAAATGTCAATATTTAAGGAGTTATGAGCATTTTAAAATTGGCTATTTTTCCTCTTTCAATAACTGCCTCTAAAATGATGCTAAAAACCCCGAAATGTCAATATTTAAGGAGTTATGAGCATTTTAAAATTGGCTATTTTTCCTCTTTCAATAACTGCCTCTAAAATGATGCTAAAAACCCCGAAATGTCAATATTTAAGGAGTTATGAGCATTTTAAAATTGGCTATTTTTCCTCTTTCAATAACTGCCTCTAAAATGATGCTAAAAACCCCGAAATGTCAATATTTAAGGAGTTATGAGCATTTTAAAATTGGCTATTTTTCCTCTTTCAATAACTGCCTCTAAAATGATGCTAAAAACCCCGAAATGTCAATATTTAAGGAGTTATGAGCATTTTAAAATTGGCTATTTTTCCTCTTTCAATAACTGCCTCTAAAATGATGCTAAAAACCCCGAAATGTCAATATTTAAGGAGTTATGAGCATTTTAAAATTGGCTATTTTTCCTCTTTCAATAACTGCCTCTAAAATGATGCTAAAAACCCCAAAATGTCAATATTTAAGGAGTTATGAGCATTTTAAAATTGGCTATTTTTCCTCTTCAAATATCTGCCTCTAAAATGATGCTAAAAACCCCGAAATGTCAATATTTAAGGAGTTATGAGCATTTTAAAATTGGCTATTTTTCCTCTTTCAATAACTGCCTCTAAAATGATGCTAAAAACCCCGAAATGTCAATATTTAAGGAGTTATGAGCATTTTAAAATTGGCTATTTTTCCTCTTTCAATAACTGCCTCTAAAATGATGCTAAAAACCCCAAAATGTCAATATTTAAGGAGTTATGAGCATTTTAAAATTGGCTATTTTTCCTCTTCAAATATCTGCCTCTAAAATGATGCTAAAAACCCCGAAATGTCAATATTTAAGGAGTTATGAGCATTTTAAAATTGGCTATTTTTCCTCTTTCAATAACTGCCTCTAAAATGATGCTAAAAACCCCGAAATGTCAATATTTAAGGAGTTATGAGCATTTTAAAATTGGCTATTTTTCCTCTTTCAATAACTGCCTCTAAAATGATGCTAAAAACCCCGAAATGTCAATATTTAAGGAGTTATGAGCATTTTAAAATTGGCTATTTTTCCTCTTTCAATAACTGCCTCTAAAATGATGCTAAAAACCCCGAAATGTCAATATTTAAGGAGTTATGAGCATTTTAAAATTGGCTATTTTTCCTCTTTCAATAACTGCCTCTAAAATGATGCTAAAAACCCCAAAATGTCAATATTTAAGGAGTTATGAGCATTTTAAAATTGGCTATTTTTCCTCTTCAAATATCTGCCTCTAAAATGATGCTAAAAACCCCGAAATGTCAATATTTAAGGAGTTATGAGCATTTTAAAATTGGCTATTTTTCCTCTTTCAATAACTGCCTCTAAAATGATGCTAAAAACCCCGAAATGTCAATATTTAAGGAGTTATGAGCATTTTAAAATTGGCTATTTTTCCTCTTTCAATAACTGCCTCTAAAATGATGCTAAAAACCCCAAAATGTCAATATTTAAGGAGTTATGAGCATTTTAAAATTGGCTATTTTTCCTCTTCAAATATCTGCCTCTAAAATGATGCTAAAAACCCCGAAATGTCAATATTTAAGGAGTTATGAGCATTTTAAAATTGGCTATTTTTCCTCTTTCAATAACTGCCTCTAAAATGATGCTAAAAACCCCGAAATGTCAATATTTAAGGAGTTATGAGCATTTTAAAATTGGCTATTTTTCCTCTTTCAATAACTGCCTCTAAAATGATGCTAAAAACCCCGAAATGTCAATATTTAAGGAGTTATGAGCATTTTAAAATTGGCTATTTTTCCTCTTTCAATAACTGCCTCTAAAATGATGCTAAAAACCCCGAAATGTCAATATTTAAGGAGTTATGAGCATTTTAAAATTGGCTATTTTTCCTCTTTCAATAACTGCCTCTAAAATGATGCTAAAAACCCCGAAATGTCAATATTTAAGGAGTTATGAGCATTTTAAAATTGGCTATTTTTCCTCTTTCAATAACTGCCTCTAAAATGATGCTAAAAACCCCGAAATGTCAATATTTAAGGAGTTATGAGCATTTTAAAATTGGCTATTTTTCCTCTTTCAATAACTGCCTCTAAAATGATGCTAAAAACCCCGAAATGTCAATATTTAAGGAGTTATGAGCATTTTAAAATTGGCTATTTTTCCTCTTTCAATAACTGCCTCTAAAATGATGCTAAAAACCCCAAAATGTCAATATTTAAGGAGTTATGAGCATTTTAAAATTGGCTATTTTTCCTCTTCAAATATCTGCCTCTAAAATGATGCTAAAAACCCCGAAATGTCAATATTTAAGGAGTTATGAGCATTTTAAAATTGGCTATTTTTCCTCTTTCAATAACTGCCTCTAAAATGATGCTAAAAACCCCGAAATGTCAATATTTAAGGAGTTATGAGCATTTTAAAATTGGCTATTTTTCCTCTTTCAATAACTGCCTCTAAAATGATGCTAAAAACCCCAAAATGTCAATATTTAAGGAGTTATGAGCATTTTAAAATTGGCTATTTTTCCTCTTCAAATATCTGCCTCTAAAATGATGCTAAAAACCCCGAAATGTCAATATTTAAGGAGTTATGAGCATTTTAAAATTGGCTATTTTTCCTCTTTCAATAACTGCCTCTAAAATGATGCTAAAAACCCCGAAATGTCAATATTTAAGGAGTTATGAGCATTTTAAAATTGGCTATTTTTCCTCTTTCAATAACTGCCTCTAAAATGATGCTAAAAACCCCAAAATGTCAATATTTAAGGAGTTATGAGCATTTTAAAATTGGCTATTTTTCCTCTTCAAA